CACACACACACACACACACACACACACACACACACACACACACACACTATGTCTGTTAGCTCAGGAAATCATTTAAGCCCCAATACATCACATATGACCTTAACATGAAAACAGAAGTTTTCTCTGCCTTGACATTAAATACACCACGTAAATAAACTGGGATTTAGATTGGGAAAACCACTCAACTGTACCCCAGTCTGCAGATCTTGCATTTCTCCAGGCAGGGATTATCCCTTCAGGCTCCCGTCGGGAACAGCTGTGCAGGGCCGAGGCTCTCACACCCAGTTCCTGGTATCACTTACTCGTATCCACGAGCACATGGAGAGAAACAGTTGGTGTGCCCATGAGATGTGTGTGTCGCTTTAGCACATCCGTTCCCGCTCTCAGCTTGCACCAGACACATCTTTCCCAGACGAACGGAACATCGGCTGGCAGGCAGCAGCCCCACCTGTGCTCTCACCTTGGCGTCAGTCACAGCTAACAACTGTCATGGTGTATGAAATGATGCAGACACAGATTTTTTGACTGTTTAATTTGAAAGTTTACATTTTTTAATGGTTGTGTTAGTGTGTAATTTTTGTACCATCAGTGGCTAGTTTTTGTCTAAAATCTTTTTTGGAATATTGCTTAATGTTTTGATTTCATGACAGTGAAGCTTGTACTCAGTGTTTTGCCAATTAATATTATATGCTTGTAATAAAAGCAGAAGAAAAACTTATAAAATCTCCCAGCATGAAAATGTTTTACCTAAAGTGTTTGTAAGAGTTTACAACATAGAGTGTGTTATCTGTAACACACTATCCAGCCCTCTCCATCTTAAAGGCTTAGCCACCCAGGAGTAAGACATATTCGGGGCGGGGGGAGGAATGGATTTTTTTTTTTTTTTTTCTGTTCTTATTCCCTAACTACAGTATAACAATTATTTATATAGCATTCAGCTTGTTTTGTTTTGATTTGATTGGGGTGTTTTGAGACTGGGTCTCTATGTAATCTTGGCTGTCCTGGAACTCATTTTGTAGACGAGACTGACCTCAAACTCTCAGAGATCTACCTGCCTCTGTCTCCTGAGTGCTGGAAGGTAAAGGTATGTGCCACCATGCTTGGCCACAGTGTATAATTTACTATAAATCATCTAGAGATGATTTTAAGAATTCAGGAGGTTAAGCTGTTTAAAAAAAAAAAAATGCTTTTATAAAAGGAACTTGAGCATCTTCAGATTCTGGTGTTATACAGATCTGACCTCATGGATCCCAAGGTGCTTCTGTGAGTGTTGAGAAATGCTCTAGATGCTCACCTCTGAGTCGTGCCTCACCTTTGCTTGGGAACACACACTTCCTATAACTCAGTAACACAAGGAGTGTGCTGTCTGTCCTGTCTTTGCCCCTGGGTTTGCTACTCCTTCCTCTGTTCCATGTATAATTTCCAAAGTGTTATTCTGGATACAGAACTTCATGTAAATTGAACCAGCATGAGGTACCAGAGTTTGGCAGAAACACATATGAGATAACATGTAATTTGTATGTTCACAGAGGTAGTGTTCTTCCGTCTGAAGCTGTGTATGACAAAAATGCTTGGAAGGAGCCTGCTGATCCCTATCAGTGTACTGAAGGAAGGATGACTTCTTATTTTAAACAGTTTACTCCCAAAAAAGGAAAAACGCACTAGTCAGACTTCTAGTTTCTAAAAGTTAAGTCTTGCAAACCTGAGAAAACTCAAGTTGGAAGGCAAGAAGATAGAGACCAAATTTGGGTTTTGATGGTCTTAACTGAGTAAGTTTCTGTGTGGTGTGTGTGCCAGAGGAAGATGCGGAGTGTGCTGCTCTGTCACTCCCCCTCACCCTGGAGACAGATCTGGAACGAGGCAGTGGCCCGCAAGCTCTTGTGGGCCCCTTATCTCCCCTTCTCTCATTACTGGAATTGCAGATATGGATAACCACGCCTGGTTTCCTGTGTGGGTTCTGGGGGCTTGAATTAGGTCCTCATGCCAGGACACAGCTTCACTGTAGGTAAGCAGGGAGTAACTGTCTCACCTTCCATGGCAAAATACCATGACCAAGACAACTTATAAAGCATTTAATTTGGGGCTCACAGTTCCAAAGGGTAATAGAGCCCGTGATTGTCATGGTGGGGAGCATTGTTGTAGGCAGGCAGGCATGGAGCCAAAGTGGTATTGGAGAGGTTGTATGATGAGGACAGCCATGAGGCAGAGAGGGAGCTACCTGGGAATGGCAGGGGCTTCTGAAGCCTGAAAGCCAGCTCTCAGTGACAGCTCCCCCACCAACTACTGAACAAGCCACAGTGTACGAGCCTGGGGGTCGTCCGAGCGCCTTCACACCACCACAGTGTCTGAGCCTGGGGGTTGCAGACGCATCTTCAGATCCATGTGGGCTGCAGCCATCCACATTCCAGGTAAGATTAGCGGGCGGCAGGGGGTGAAATTGTTGGTGTCTGAGGGTGGAGCTGGAGCCTGGGCTTTGTCAGGTGTTTTCCAGGGAAGCTGCGAGCCCTGGCAGGCACACTCAGGGTGGAAGAGGGTGAATCGTCAGGGCCAGAGCAGCTCAGGCTCTGAAACCGGAGCCAGCCATCAACAAAGGCCCAGCCTGGGCGAGTTGGTGGCTGCTTCCTTCATGGGCCGCTGCCCATGAAGCGGTAATGGAGGCTCAGGCTGGCTAGGTGCTCCTAAACAGAGAAGCAGAGGCAGGAGCCCTGTTTTGTCACTGCTTCAGGAATAGCCAGCCACTTGCTCCTGCAGACCAGCACTGCAGTGGGTGGAGTGGTGGACTGGCTCTGTGGTGGGCGGATGGAGCAGCCAGAAGGCAGCAGCTGTGCTGACGTGCTGGGGAATGGAGGGCGCTCGGCAACCAGCAGCCAAGTCCTGGGGGTCCAGTGATGGGTTATTTAGGGAAAGGGGGAACCCATCCTTCCCTGGAAAGAAATGAAGCGTTTCAGCTGCTCGTGGCGAAATAGGTGATGCTGGCCCCTTTATTTAGTGTGAAACAGGGACTTATACACCTGGCAGTGGGAGGGGTTTGGAAGGTGAATGTGTTTGATTCTCTGGGGCTAGGGATGCCAGGGATGCTTCATCTACAACAACCCTATTTTAGGAGGGGGAAGGCAGTACTTAATTAGCCTATGAGTGGGGGAGGAAATCTAAGTATGTTTTTAAACCTTTAGGTCATTGGTTGAAAGCCAAGACGCCTCACTAACATAGGGCCGGTGTTTCCAGGAATCCCCAGGGGCTTGCCGAACCAGTTTCTTATATGGAGAGGGCAGGACTTGCAATCTCCCTGAGGGCTCTGTAACTTTCATTAGAGGATCTGGGATTCCCAGATCAAGTGGAAAGGGAGTCCATCATTTTACACTGAGCTCAGAGGCGACTTAGATCTTAACAGCAGAGTCCCACATAACATAAGGTAGTTT